TTGGCCTGTATTCTTAACTCTGAATTGTATGCCACCATTTTTCTATTCTTTGTTAACAAAATCAAGTATGTCCTTGTAGATTGGCCTCAGAGTCATCTCTTCTGTGGAACTTTGCCTAGCTTTGTTTTTATGTGACTTTCTTTTTTTTTTTAATTCTTTTTAAAAAATTGACATATAATGATTATACATATTTATGGGGTACAAAGTGATGTTTTGATAAATATATAGTGATCAGATCAGAGTAATTAATATATCCATCATCTTAAATATTTACCATTTCTTTGTATTGGGAACATTCAATATTCTCTTTCTGGCTATTTGAAACTATATGTTATTATTATTAACTATAATCATCCTACAGTGGTATGTGACACTAGAAGTTATTACTCCAATAGCTGTCATTTTGTACCCTTTAACAAATCTCTCTATATTCTTCCTTCCCCACCAGTCTCTGCCTCTAATATCCTCTATTATACTTTTTTACTTCTATGAGATAAACATTTTTTAGCTTCTATATATGAGGGAGAACATACAGTGTTTAACTTTCTATTCCTGGCTTATTTCACTTAACATAATATCCTCCAATTCCATCCAGGATTTGACAGGACTTGATTCCTTTTTATGGCTGAATAGTATTCCATTATATATTAATATATGTGTCACATTCTCTTTTAAACTTTTTTTCTTTTTTTTGAGACAGAGTCTCACTCTGTTGCCCAGGCTAGAGTGCCGTGGCGTCAGCCTAGCTCACAGCAACCTCAAACTCCTGGGCTCAAGTGATCCTCCTGCCACAGCCTCCCAACTAGCTGGGACTACAGGCATGTGCCACCATGCCCAGCTAATTTTTTCTATATATGTTTTTAGTTGTCCGGCTAATTTCTTTCTATTTTTAGTAGAGACAGGGTCTCGCTCTTGCTCAGGCTGGTCTTGAACTCCTGAGCTCGAACAGTTCACCCACCTTGGCCTCCCAGAGTGCTAAGATTATAGGTGTGAGCCACCATGGCTGGCCTGTCACATTTTCTTCATCTGTTGTTGAACACCTAGGTTGATTATATATCTTAGCTATTGTGAATACTGCTGCAATATACATGGGGCTACAGCTGACTCTTCGACATACTGATTTCCTTTCTTTTGTGTAAAGGCCCAGTAATGGGATTGCTCCATCACATAGTAGTTCTATTTATAGTTTTTTGAGGAACCTCCATACTATTCTCTAGAGTGGCTGATACCAGTTTACGTTTATCGCCAACAGTGTATAACAATTCCCTTTTCTCTGCACCCAAGCCAGCATTTGTTATTTTTTGATAAATAGCCATCTTAACTAGGATGATAGGATACCTCGTATCGTTTTCTTTATTACTTAATTTTGATGCCTAAAAAAACAGAATGTAATCTTCTTTATGAAACTGGTATACAATATGGACATAGAAAGTATTTTTGGTTTTATGTTTTAATATTTAGTGAAACAATTAAAGAATGATGGCATAGCAGTTAGCATTATCATCGGGAGGTTATATGGCTGATTAAGTTTGATAATACACTTTGGTGAGCACTGTTGTTTAGCTTTTCAAGCTAGAGACTTGATTTTGACAGCATCCCTATAAGTTATCAGTATTTCTATTATAGACTAAGAAACCGAACTGATACATAGTGTGTAAGATGTGCACCATCTGGGGGATGGTCATGCTGGAAACTCAGACTTGTGGGGGAAGGGGGGAAAGGGCATTTATTGAAACCTTAAAATCTATACCCCCATAATATGCTGAAATAAAAATAAATAAATAAAATATATAAAAAAAGACTGTATAAGCCAGAATGCAAATTTGTTAATTTACAATATAGAGTACTTGTATTAAACAAGTGAGAAAGCATGTATTAGTGACCTAGTATAAACATTTTGGGATGGAAAGTAACAAGACAATCTAAATTATAGTCTGAAGCTTGCTTAGTGGGCATAGAATTGGATCATGGGAAGTTGGTTTGAATTCGGCCAAATTTCTAGGTCCCAGAGTCTACATTAACTATTTTCTGTAGCATATTCGTTTTTATTTCAATTATGGCATAAGTCAATTTATTTGGCTAAATCTTTATGCTGCCTTAGTATGATATTTTATTCTAGTAGCCATTCTGTTTTTTTCTCTACTGATACTTCCATTGCTGTCATTTTTCCACTATTGTTAATTTACTGACTCCCCCCTCCGCCCCAGTTGATATAGGTCAAAGGTCAGGGCCTGAACCTAGCTATATTTTTTCCTACAGAATAGGTTGACTATATGATAGATCTCTACCTTTAAAAGGTCTGTTTTGCATTTTTTCGAAGTTTGTAGTTATGTTCAGAACAATTAAGAAAGCAACAGAAGTCTTACTTATTAAGGATTCACTCTCCTGGAAAAGTTTGTTGCAACTATACAGAGTGTCAAGGGTTAGTAGTAGGCTCTAGTATCACGAAGTGATAATGAGAAAGAAGAGTGGTAAACCTAGGAATGAAGGACTTTATCTGTCAAATGAATGAGTTAGGCTTTCATCTAATAGCAGTAGCTCTCAATATCCATTAGTTTCACATCTGTGCATTCAATAACAATACAATTAAAAATGCAAATAAGAAAACCAGTCATATAGTACAACTACTTATGTAGCATTTACATTGTATGTGGCATTATAAGTAAACTAGAGATGATTTAAAGTTTATGGCAGGATGTATATAGGTTATTTACAAATACTATGCCATTTTATATAAAGGACTTGAAGATCCTTGGATTTTGGTTGGGGGGGGGGTCGTGTCCTGGAACCAGTCTTCCACAGATTCTGAGGAACAACTGTAGTAGTAGTCAGTAGTAGTAGAACTAGAAAGACAAGTAGTTATAGAAGAGTAATAAAGAAGATTATAATAAAAAAAGAAGAAAGTATTTACTGAATGCTTACAAGGTGCTAGATACTGTGTTATTTACCTGTATTATTTTACTCAATCTTCATCTGAGTATAATAACCCTAGGAAACAAGAAGTATTATTATATCCTCACTTTACATATGAGGAAACTGAGACACAGAAATTCAGTAACATTCAAAATCACAGAGCTAGTAGGTAATAGGGCTGGATTTCTAGTGGGTAGTAGTAATTATTACTGAACAAATACCACTAATGATCTACATACAGGCTTAATGTGGAATAGTCAGAATTTATCTGGGTATATGATTCTAGAGCTGGTTAGTTAGGTGTTATCAAATAAAAAATAAAATAGATAAGACTAGAAGAGAATGCCAAAGAAAGCATGTATAATAAGAAATTAATTGTTTCAGGGTTGTGGTCAGCATTCAGTGAGAATCATAACACATTAGTGCATGGTAAATGGATAATAAATGCCAATTATTATTTTATCAGTGGTTTGACTGATGCTCCTACATCTGAATGCTGCTACTCAGTCAGTTTACATCAGTTTAAGGAGAAAAATACCAGTGGCTCTGATCTTTGTTTCCTTGATCTGTAAGGAAACACACTCATATAAACACACACACCCATACATATATATTAGTAACATTCATTACTTCATATTTTCTTATAGCAGAACTTTATATAAACAACTGTATGATGTAAGAGTATAACTAAAAATTTGATTGTTTGATCACATTATTCCCTACTCTATGATCTATGCTATTAATATATTTGCATTTAATGAGGAAAACTATGCCATGACTTTTTCTAATGAATACAATGACTTTTTTGAAAAGAAAATGACTAGGAAGGTTAGAGAAAGGTTATAAGCAAATGTTCTCACAAAGTTGCTGAAATAGGAAAGTAAAGGAAATAGCTCTTTTCCTGAAACTTTATCTGATAGAAATAATTATTTTATTTTGAGGTGGTTTGAGCAGATATTTCTCTGCCATTTCAGAGGAGAAATTTTAAATTGACTTCATCTCCAAATGAAAAATTCTATTGTGCATTTTTGTTTATTTATTATGGCATCCTTTTAGGACATACAGGGTTATTTCAGTATGTCTTGAAATATTACTTTTGTTTTATGTGAAACATTATTGTTTTTCTTTATAGGTTTCCAAGTTTGGTAAGACCAGAGTGTTACTAATGAAGTCATCTCTCTGAAGTGGTTTCTTCACTACATCCATATGCTGCGATGGATTTTCTTTTGTGTCTATTCAGAGAATTTCTATTCAGTTTGTTATTAGTAATTATCCCCTAGTCACTTTCTTCATATCTATTTTCTAGATAACAGTTCCCTAGTTTATACCTGTATTGTGTATTATTCTTCCCTAAGTGTATTATCTTATATTTCTTTACATTAAATCTCATCTTGGACCTGTCCTTTCAAATCCCCAAGTTGTCCATATTCATCCATGTACTTGATTGATCTTCTTTTCTTTTCTTTTTAATCCATCCTAGCTTTGTATCATCTGCAAACTTGATCATACTTGAATTTACATTCTCCTCCAGCTCATTAATGAGTATATTGGACAGGCTAGTCCTTGTTCCTGTGGGACTGTGCTGGATATACTGCTGGGTGTTCTCAGTTGTAACTATGTTGATAATAATTCATTGCTTCCTTCCCATCACAGAATTCTTTATCTACTGTGTTATACTGTTATTCAGGCAATGCTTCTACCATCTCTGCTTTCTGAATGCTCCTACATCAGAAGTTACTCAATCTGGGAAAATATTGTCCTTAAATAGAAATTTCTCAAAAGTTTTCATTGAACATCAGTGAGTCTTTAAAAATAAGTTAAGTGTGAAACATTTTGGAAGTGCTGCCTAAGTCTTTGCTTTCCCCATGAAAAGGAATCTGTAGTTATTTAAATTTTAAGTAAAAGAATAGTTATTTTTCCTGCAGCTGAGAAGATGATTTAAATATGTATTTTTCTTGAATGTGGATTGTATTTATGCTGCTTCAAGATGGTTTCCTAGATGAGACACAGTTCATTTATAATTTTCAGAGCATGATGCAGAGTCATGTTTATTAATTTTTAAAGTTATATATTTTCTTTATTTTCAGGAAAAAGAAGAAGTAGAAGGGATATCTGTAGGTGCTATACTTTCTGACTATCAGCGTGGTCGAGTAGAAAATGTGTAAGAGAACATTCAATAATTTCTTAATTTTTAAAGTATACATATTTTAAGAATCTGTATGAGTAAAAAATAAATAATTTCAAATCATAAATAGTTATGATACTCTACATGCCCTATGCAACTAAATGTATGGATTTACCTAAGTAATAAAAGTTACACTTTTACTTTTGTCTGTCCTTATCAGAAAACTCTTAACTTACAGTAAGGAAAAATAATTAATTTGTAATAAAGAGTTCCAACAAAGATTTCTAGTGAGAAGTATTATCTTTAATTTAATTTAGTACACACTTTTAATCTCTTAACTCATCATCTTTCATAATAAAAATCAGGAGCTAATAGAAGGAATGCCATAATATTTTAAAGGAAAAAATGCTTAAGGAATCTCTTTCTCTTTGGTTAATAGAATTCACTTCTTTGACAGAAGTATTCATGTGATTGAAATACTTATATAAAAGCCATTCAGCTTTCAATGAGTATTTAGATTGTTGCTCCCCTCACCCCCTTAGGGGATGCAACACTAGTAAAATAGCCAACAAATATCAAAATAGTCAATTTTATTGATCTATGAAAAATCATAAGATTAATTAAGTGATAATATTGATTATTTAATGTTGACCACCTGAATGAATTTATTTTTGATTTTTTTTTTCTTCCACAAACCACTTTAATTGTGTGCTTGTCACCTACTTCAGGGTCTAAGAAACTCTTCACACCACCACCATTTTTATTTGGATAAAAACTCTATATTGTATAGAGATTTTAGGCATAATTATGTTAGTAAAAAAGAAAATATGGACTCCAGTATTTTTCTTGAGTACTACTTAATCTAGAAATAAGTAATGTTGCCAGTTAAAGGATAAATGAAAGTAAGATAAAGGCTGTATTTATATAATAGTTTTATATTCTTTATAAAGAAACATTTATTCTATCTCATTAAGAACCTGCATATTAATAGCTTTGAAAACTTAAGTTTTATTTTTATTTTATTTACTTTCTCTCTAATTCCATGGTGGATTTAAGGCAGTTAAAAATGCATAATTTTAAAAGCAAATAAAGGGAACACAGGGCAAAGCATAGGGAAGTGAAAAGAAATATAACCATCTCACATTTTAGAGGTGAGAATCTCTAAACAATGGATGATGGTGGTGTAAGTAGAGGAGGAGATTAAACATGTATATTTTGAGGAAGTTTTCCTTACATTCTACTTGTTTACTTTTGCTCTATAGATGAAGATGGATTGCATGTCCCTTAAACTATACATTAATGATAATATTATTCTTATCAAGTTTTAGGTCATATTCTCTGAGAATTATTTAGTTTCCAAATTAGTGTTTTTTAATAAGTTCAAACCCACATGGTTTAATGGATAGCCATACTGGAGATAGGGCTGACATCTATTTATGAAAGTTAAAAAACCAAATGCAAATGTGCTCCTGATTAGGGAAGCTGCCTCATTATAGATACATGGAAGAAGGGCCCATGGCATACATTGGGTAGAAGCAGGACTTTCTCAAAACACCGTCTTAGGTATATTTCAACACATGGTTTAATATGACCAGATTTTATATCACAAAGCATATCTGCAGTAATTTTATCCTTGAAATTTTTAAAGGGATGTTACTGGGAGTTCATTGGTCTACTAAATCAGTTTTGCATTAGCCTATCCCCAATATGTAGTTTTTGTTCCATCATTATATTTTCAAGATATGAATTGTTTAATAAATGTTACAAGGTCAAATGCATCAGTGATTTACAGAGGAAGTTTATTTGAACTGTGATATTTTAAACTGTTAAAACATTTAAATAGGTCAAGAAGTTTGACTTAAGTCTAAAAATAGTCACACGTAGAACATTTAATAAGTATTGGGATTCTCTGAGAGAAAGAGAGAGAAATCAGTGTAGGCCTGAAAAGTCAGCCATGCAACCTTACAGATGGCAGGGATGATAGGGGACACTGGGAATAATTGGTTTTAGACCTGTATTCTTGGTTTGATATATTATCTCAGCCACTTCCTATGTGACTGTGAATGCGCAAGTCACTTGACTTTGCCTGCTATTTATTGAATACCTGTTTTATCCAGGTATTTTTTTTTTTTACATTCTTTATCTACATTACCTTTAACTGAGAAAGTGACATTTAAGCAAAGGCATGAAGAAAAGTAGGGAGCACAGCTAGTGTAATAGGCAAGAGTGAGCAAGTGAGAGGTGGTGGATGGAGTGTGAGGGGAAGAGTAGTAGGAGATGAGGCATGAGAAGTAATCAGGGTCTATTGCAAGGATTTTCACCTGGAGTGATGGGAAGCCACTGGAGGGCTTTGAGCAGAGGAATGATCCATTTTATGTTTTAAAAGAATCACACTGGCTACTGTATTGAAAATAGATTTAAAAGGGAAAGAGTGGAAGCACAGAAAGAAATTAGGATATTGACTTGAGAGATAATGGTGGCTCAGACCAGATTGTTAGCAGTGGTATTGGTGAGGAATGATCACAATTCTGTATTGTGGTAGATTGGAAGAAAAGAAGAGTAAATTAGGATGACTTCATTTTATAATCTTTTAATCTTCTCAAGAACTTTGAAAGGAAATATTTTTGCCCCTGTTTATGAACTAAGAAACTAAAGACATAGACACTAGAGAGTTAAGTAAACTAAAGAGTTTACTTAACTTGTGAAAGCCATGTAGCTAGAGTGCAGAATGAGGTTTCAAACCCAGATTTGCCTTGACTCCAAAACTTATATTCTTTCTACTGTACCAATACTATAAAGTATCTGGTACAATGCCTGTAGAATATTAGGTGCTCAATAAATTGTACTTTTTGTTCTTAGTATTTTTTTTACTTAGATACAAATTCTTTAAAAAATTTCAAAGTTAGATAAAGAATAGTTCATAGAACCATAGTTATTATAAATTTAATCAATATATGATTATTTGTTAGAATAAATCATTTGCCATTTTGCATATGCTTCATAATTTTGATACTCACAGAAGTTTTAAAAATGAGAATAATCATTCACTGGCATGTATAAGCTCTTTGGATACATTTCTAAACTTAGTGTCATACTAAAATTAATATTTCTAGTGTGCCTAGAAAATTCATTTTTTATCAGTTTATACATACCCATGTATGTTAAATATGTTTATGTTGTATATATAAACTTCTTTATGCAAACCATCTATTTTAAAGCATTTTAAATGCTAAAATTCTTGAAAGAAGCATTATGTTTAAAATCAAAGTAATTGCTACGGATCCAAGTGCGGGACATTGCGATATCTGATTTTTTTCTTTTTATTCTGTAGGTGTAAAAGGCTTGATCTCCAGCCTTTAGCTTACCTTTGGCAGAGAAACCAGGAAGAATTACTTCGAGAGATGATATCATCTAACATTCAAGCGGTGATCATCAAAGTAGCAGCTTTTGGTATGTAGCCAGACTTTTAAGATAGCTGTTTGTTATCACATAGATAATCTCTGTTTACTAACAAAAAGTTACAATGAAAAAAGAATGATCTAGAATATAAAAATGTGGCATAACAGGCTGAAAAAATTGCCAAATTTTTTAATAGTGAGCCTTTTTTTTTAACATATAACTGGCTCTAAAACTGATATTGTATTATGGTTGTTCAATTTAAGTTATTTTTATAGGATTTGGGATTCAAGTTTCTAAGAAACAGGAAATATAGGGGTTTTTCTAGGTTTTTTTAAAAACTTTTTAAAATGTGTATTTGGCATAAACCATGATATTTTCCTGTTATTAAATTTATTTTGCATCATGCTAAAACAGAATAATTGATTTTGTTTATCAAAAAATAAATAGGGCAGTGGATTTTTGTTGGGGATGATAATAAAATCATGTTTGAGAGAATATTCTTGGATCAGTTAGCATAGACACAGCAGGCAGGTGATAATCTGATTCAAATATGGATGTTATATATGAACACATTTAATTTGTTTTGAATTTTTATAATTATATTCATTTTTGAGAAATCATAGAGTTTATATTTATTTCATGATTACATTTATTTCATGAACCTATTACAGAAAATGCCCTGGTGCCTCAGGGTTCCCAAAGCCTAAATCATGTACCTCATTTGAGAGTGTTTACCTTGCTGATCTCTGAAATAATGAGGTCTCAAGCTGTGGAAGACTTTACAGATAAATTCACATTTTAAACAGTATTAAAATAAAGTGAAAAACTGCAGATCCATACCTTTCTCCTCGGTAAATACCAAGCTGTTCCATTCCTGTGGAAGTTGAGGTGTTGTCTTTACTTGAAAGCTTTATTTAGAGAACCTGTAGTTTATGTCTTTAGCTGTTAAAATGAGAACAATTGAGATGATATTATAATATGTTCTCATGTCTGAGAAAAGATTGCTGAGTGGTCTTATTGAAGTTCTCATTATAAATATATTTGTCACTAAATGTAGGTATATTTGAGTTACTATGTCAGTCTAGACAGAGTATGTTCTCTTGCTTTCACTCTGTCTCTTATTCTCTTTTGGATTTTTTAAGATTACATAGTTCTGTAATAAAGTTCACATGACCCCTCACCGGAAGGTACATATACTGTCCCTTTTACTACAGATAAAAGCCTGGATTAGGACCCACAGAGACCTGCCTTATTGGAAAGACAGAGCCATAGAATTTGACCTTATTGCCACCTTTGTAATAGTATATAACTGTTACTGTGTGTCCTTTCATTTGAGTGTATGCCTCTCTATAGGGGTTAGAGATGGGGAATTACCTGTATTAAACCTTTGGGTAAAGTATAAAACTGAGCTAAGTTGTCTTCAGATCTCTATAACAAAAGTGTAGATCTGATTTTAACATTTACAGCACATGCTTTCTACTCATTACCTTTCAGTGTGCAAAGATGGAAGTTATTCTTGAGAACAGTATTAAAGAAAGGTTTATTGAGTGGCACAGTCCTTCTAAAGAGATAGAAATGTATAAATGATGCAATATAGTTTTCCAAGCTTTTTTTCCTCCCATTTAAAATTGTCAGAAAAGGATTTAAGCAAAAAATAGGACAACAGGACCTTTCTATGGGGGAGAGAGGTCAATAAAATTTTGTGGCCCATTTTTCTATGGAATTGTCTTACAATAGAAAAGAATTACTTCTACATGGATGTGTACGAATATATTTTTGATAATTATATTATATAACCTTGATGTCTTGCAGGTATCAGTAAGCTTGTAAAATTTTCACATTAATATCTTAGTATTTAAAGGACTTTCTACTGGTTTTTACATTTATTTAAAAATGCCATTTGCTCATTGGACTTAAGAACAATCTGGCTTTTTGGAAATATTTGTTTTTTATTGTATGAGTATTACATGAAAACATTATTATATAACATTACATTTTCATAGATGATGAAAAGATTCTATGTGTTTCTGCCAACCACTCCCTTTTCCAGAGATATGCACATAGGTTATAACTGATCATCTTTCAAAATGACTTTTTTGTATGTACGTATGTGCATATAGAGATAATATACAGGTTTTTATATAATAAATAATTTACAGGTTTTTATTATTACATAAATTGTGTCTTACTCTCTATTGATCTGCAAATTGCCTCTTTTACTCAGCATTACATCTTGGAGGTCTTTTCCCATGTTAATAAATATATTTCTACCTCATGTTTTATTTTTAAGAAACCTTTTATTGAAGTATAACATAAATACAAAAAAAGTTTACAAAACCTTAAGTGTATAACTTGATGAATTTTTACAAAGTGAGAATACGTATGTCATCAACACTCAAATCACAGCATGTAGAACATCCTCCTAGTTAATACTCTCCCAAAGGTAACAGCTCTCCTGATACCTAAAACCACAGATTAGTTTTTTTCTGGTTTTGAATTCTATGTAAGTGCAATTTTGCAGCACTCCCCAACCTTTTTGACACCAGGGACCATTTTCACGGAAGATAGTTTTTCCACAGACTGGAGAATAGGGGGGATGGTTTCAGAATGATTCAAGCGTGTTATATTTATTGTGTATTTTATTTGTATTATTATTACATTATAATATATAATGAAATAATTATACAACTCATCATAGGTTGGGGACACCTTCTCTATTGCATCTGGCTTCTTTGGTTCAATATGTTCATGATATTCGGCCATATCATTGAATGAAGCAATAATGTGTTCATTTTTGTGGTAGTACAGCATTCCAGTGTAGGAATATGCCACAATTGTCCATTTTTTGTTGATGGCACATAGGTAGTTTCCTGTTTTAGCACTATTATAAATAATGCTGCTATGAACATATAGGGTCATCTTATACATTTTCTGTTCCAGACCTAGAACATCTTTTTTTTCCAAGAAGCCCTGGTTTCTTTTAAGTGTAAAATGATATATATTTATGTTTATCTGTATATATCTAATAACTCATAGGTTCATGATATTTTAAAATAATATTCAGGATTTTATAAGGGGGATAATAATTCTGTATTCCATCTCTGCCTTCTTTCTTCTACAGTGAAAAAATCTTAATTCTCAAGGAAGCAGGAGATGTTATTAGAAAATCCCATCATTTCTGGAAACAAAAAGACCAAGTAGCAGGTCTGCAATCTATTGTTTTCAGTAACTGGGGTATGCTCCCTGGAAAGAAAGAAGGAACTACTTGCATAATCTCTGTATGAACTTTATTAATTACAGACCTCATGGCAAAAACACACAAATAAAAAAATCTCTGATGGCATATACTAGAGGGGACAAGTTATTATCCTTGGAATGGTTTTAGCAGTATGTATCTGGTTGCTAGAGAGAGAGAGAGAGAAAGAGAGGGAGAGAGATGATAGAGAAAAAGCATGAGACTACTTTTACTCATCACTGGTCAATCTTCTGCTTTTCAAACGATTTGTTTGCAAAGTAACTAAATTGATCACTAGAAAAACAATATAGGTTTAAGGGTTAGCTTAATCAGTTAAGTGATTTTTGTACTAACATTGATTATGAAAGGAAAAAATGCCAGGACTCTACTCATAAAGTTTCTAGAATTGGGAGGTAGGAATGAGGTGATGGGAAGGATGCAATTACACAACTGTGTATCTTACCCATTTTGCAAAATCTTTTTTTTTTTTGTTTTGCTGATCTGGTAGTCCCCAAGTTTAAAGTTGTATGTGCCAAAGAAAAGTGTTATGAATGCACAAAATACAATATCAATACCAGTGAATTTGACAGTACATGTGCTTAGAGGCCTTTAGGGGTATGTATAACTTCACCCAGTGTAGATAAATTAAGGATTATCTGTAATCACAGAGCCAAGTGTCCTGTGATTCTTTGTCTGTCAAATCTTATAATATCTGCCAAGGAGAAGTGTTAACAGGGCTGTTGTTTTTACCGGTCCTGTGAGTTTAAAATACATCTATTGAGTCAGAAAGCCCACTGATAGGGAAAAGGGTATAGATTAAAACAGGTAATAAATGGAAATTAGGGGAATCATAGGACATGAAAAGGCACTTGAAAGTGAATTACAGTTTGGTGGAAGGATGCAATCATGTGACCTCCAAGCCAGAACCTCAGAGCTAGAGAATAATACTCTTAGACATTTCTCTCAGATCTGATGCCATCCTTAACTGATGATGAGAGAACACTCTGGATCTGTTTTCTGCAAAGTAGGGAAATTGGTGATATACGCTGTACCTAATGATTCCACCTGAATAATTTGGAACAACAATGTGACGGAGTGTCACTTGATGACTCAACATAGGGATAGTTCACTACAGTTACCACTCATTTCTTGGTACATAGACTATACATTTGTCCCTTGAACAATGAAGGGGTTAGGACAACCAACCCCCTGCACATTTGAAAATCTGCTTATTACTTTTGACTCCCCCATAACTTTACTAATAGCCTTCTGTTGACCAATAACATAAACAGCTGATTAACACATTTTATATGTCATATGTATTATATACTGTATTCTTATAAAAAAAAAAAGAAAGGTAGACAAAAGAAAATGTTACTAAGAAAATCCTAAGGAAAAGAAAATACGTTTATGGTACTGTACTGTATTTATCAGTAGTATGCGTTTAACAGTATATATATCAAGTAATTCAACTTTTTCTCATGTCATGACTTTTCTCTGCTTCTTGGGAGCACTTCCAGTATCACTAGTGGCACTATATATGGGTCTCATGGTGTTATTGAAGGTTTACAGTATTGCACCAAACACTATGAATATACGAGGACTGTGAGAGATCATTTTTTTCCTGTGATACGCAGTTTTACTGGAGAGACAAACTGCTCAAGTGGAGATGATTAGCATCACACAATTAGCATCCCATGACATTTTGAACAGATATTAGCAACATTTGAGTTCACTTCAATAGCAACAGGAGATAACTATGAAATTATTATAGTAGTACAGTATGTACTATAGTTAATTTTACACACTTATGATT